TGATTATTTTTAATTTCCTTACTTGAAATTGAAAGGGCCCCGGGTTAAGTGGGGCAATGAGTGGGCACTGGGAAATGCCCTAATATCTTTGATAAAAATGAGGTGTCAAGCCCCTCATTGAAATTTTATCAAAAAGCTATCAGAGAAGACAGTAACTATAATGCCATCTGTTTTCCACATTAGTTGAAATGTCTTCTTCCCACAAATGACATCATGCACATTGTATTCCTCACAAAAGCACCATGTATAAAGTTAGTAAATACTGATACATGTATGGTTTCATACTGCTTACAGGAAATTAAAAATTTCTAAAACACTATCAAGATACAAAGAGCTCATACTATAGCATGTGAAATTGTAACCATTTATTATAAGTAATAGCATGGCTTGAGGGAGATTAGTGATTAAATGGCCCCGTAACGCGAGGCAGGTTTGCGGAATTCCCGAGGGCGAAGCCCGGGGGAATTCCGCAAACCTGCCGAGGGTAAGGGGTCATTTAATCACTAATCTCCCGAAAAGCCATGCTATTAGTTTGTAATAGCATAGTTGCGCTCCCATTTAAAAATGGACAAACATGCCCTACTTGGAATCAGCGTATTTAAGCTAAAACATTTGCTTCATTGCTTGTGGGATGTAAAAGCTTGTTGCACATGCGCACTTTTTACGCTTTAATCGGTTACGCATGCGCAATCTATCATTTAACGTACGACAACAAAAACGCTAAATATATTAGTATAAAATTGGAGACTGCACGTGCGTAATTTAAATGATGCGGCAACTCAGGGATCGGATGATAGACTATTGACGGCTCTGAGCTAACTGTTGCTCTTCCTTGCACGATTATGTGCGTGAGGCACTTGCCTAATGCGTAGTCGTCAGGGAGACAAAGGTGTGACCCTTGGTAACGGGCGATTAGTTCTAATCGCCCGCTCTAGCGGGCGATTAGTTAGTAATGGTACCTGTTGAAACAAAAGAAACCCGGGCAACTATGCTATTATATAACATATCAGCCGTATTTAATAAAAATATAAAATGAAACTATATTATAAAGTCGACGTATTTTCTACAACCAAAACTTTAAATACTCGTGGCTAAAATAAAGCATTATCCATCGTATTTAAATATAATCATATCCCACCAATAAGACCAATTTTTCACGAAATTTTTACAGTATTTCAGGTTCTTGAAAATATAAACTCACTGAACTGTGAAATATTATTTACCCGTCCGAGGCTGTCAACTCGTCTCAACTGGCTTCAAATATCGTCTTTGCTGATATTTCTCTAGGTTTATTGTCTTTAGCGAACAAGGATAACTTGTACAAACTGCACATCTTTGAAAAAAATAGTCGACGTCCAAAAAATTATGTCCAAAATCCAAAACTACGACTGCAAAAACAACAAAATATTTTTGCAGAAATCGGGGCATAGATCAGGGGAGTGGAAATTGTAGCGGGCTCAAAATTGAGCCTTGTACAGTGGTAATTGTATGAGCAAAAGGAACCAGATGGCGTCATTCTGGCGTCAGCAAAGCCGAAATCCGCCATGTTTTTGGCGACACTTTTTGCCAACCACGTCCTCCAGTTATAGTATAGCTCAGTGATTCGGACGAAATCCCTTGGATGTCAACAAATGACCCATATATCTCAAACTCATTAATAATTCATGAGCAAATTAGCGAATGAACTCACCCTAATTCGTCACATGATTGAGGTTGGATACCGCAGGAAACACGCTAAAAATCATATACCATCACTGTTGTTAGATGAAAAACGGTTTTCATCTAATAACTGAGATCCTAATTACAAATTCAAGTCAAAACACAACAATATACTATAATAATATATATAAGCCAATGAAATGTTTTTGTTTGAGATGTTGTGTAAACAACTCGTTTCTCGTGTTTCATCAGGGGACCAAACACTCGAAAACAATAAAACACTCGCGCTTCGCGCTCGTGTTTCATACAGTTTTCTCGTGTTTGGATCCCCTGATGAAACACTCAAACTCGTTGTTTACATATAACATGAAACGTCGGTCCTCCGTAACTTCAGCTTTTGCTTATTCAGCTTCAGACCGCGTTGTCTTGCTCTTTCTAGTACGGCTTCTAGGCAATGATCATGGTTTTCGACAGCTTGCTCCTCTGTGTCACCTGATCCATATACCAAAATATCATCTGCTATCACCTCAACTCCCGACAAACCTTCGAATACTTCATGTAACCTCTGAAACTCTTCAGATGCTGTGCTTATTCCAAATGGCATACGGCACCACCGATATGGACCATATGGCGTCCAAAATGTAGTTAGGTAACTGCTTCGTTTATCAAGCTTTACCTGCCAAAACCCCTCTTTCGCATCTAACACTGTGAAGACTTTGGCATTTGCCAGTCGTGGCAAAATTTCATCAATAGTTGGTATTGGATAGTGTGGACGGAGGAGTGCCTTGTTGAGGTCTTTCGGATCTATGCATATTCTTAGGGGTCGTTCAGACTGGGTGCCCGGCACTAGTGCCCGGGCACCGGGCACGGTAAAACAGGATGTTCAGACTGGTTCCCAAAGCCTAGTATAATATTTGGCGGGAAATAGTTTCTTTTGTGCGCGAAAAACCGTAAGGCATAAAAATGTGCATGCAATGTGTTTTTCTCTCACAATTTTGTGTTTTTTTCTGGATTCATATTGTTGTTAAATTATTATTATGGATCTGAGAGGTCACCTGGTGTACAACAAGAATGTTTAAATCAACTGATGATGATGTGCATTGCACATAACAACAATATATTCAGGTTGATTGCAATGAGAAATTCATACGAAAGGACAGTATGGTCATTTTCAAGGATACAGGGAATTGTAGAGAATGAATACAGGCATTTTAACGACAGAAAGTGGCTTGAAAGTTATAGAGTTCCCAAGACAATCTTCTCTCAACTTTGTACCTTTTTCAACAGTTTATGTGGTAAAACCACGCAAATGCGAAAACCGGTACCTGTACAAGTCATCACTGCAATGGTTTTGAAAAGACTAGGTAAAGGTTTAGACTATCGAGAGATTGGCGATAAGTTCGGAGTTGGTGCATCAACTGCCAATGAAAAAGTAAACGATGCTATGCTATTTCTTATAAAAAATAAACTACACACAATCAGTCGACTTCAAGAGCGTAGGAATTTGGCTGCAATTATTGGTGGCTTTTTAGAGAAATGGAATTTACCACAATGTTTGGGTGCTATTGATGGCACACACATTCCAATTAAAGCACCAGAACATTGTCATACTGATTATTTTAATAGAAAGTGCTTTCACTCAATAATAGTGCAAGCTGTGTGTGATAGTGAGTGTCGTTTCACTGATGTTTTTGCTGGATGGCCAGGGAGGGCACATGATGCAAGAATATTCAATGTATCAAAAATTGGTGGAATGGTAACAAACGGAACGTTGGTACCGGAAGAACAAGAATTGTCAAAAATCATTAATGGGAAAGTAATAGAACCATTTCTTATTGGTGACCCAGCCTATCCCCTCTCTAAACACCTTATGAAGGACTATCCAGGTTCTAATCTATCGCCTGAAAAAGAGTATTTTAACTACAGATTAAACAGGGCACGTATCCAAATTGAAAGAGCTTTCGGAAAACTAAAAGGCAGATGGAGATGCCTTTTTAAACAATTAGAGTGCACTCTAGAAAATGCTGCCCACCATGTAATTGCTTCATGCATATTACACAATATATGTGAGGAGGGAGATGCTGAATATTTGGAAGAATGGAACATTGTCACTGGTAATGAGTTAGAGGGAAATTTCCCATTCCTGAATCAAGACGAACAGACAATAGCAGGACAAGAAGCAGAGGAAACACGGCGATTACTCACTGAATATGTTTCACACAATTAGCAACTGATTTACAGAACAAACCTAACTTTGTCACCATTACTGACATGTAATCAAAAACAATACTACTACTTAATAAAAACTGTTTTACAATTTAAAACTGTTTTGATAACAATCAACTGTAATCATGTCCTTAAATAAAAGTAACATTTCCATGGTGCACATGAAGGTAAAGAAACATCATAACAACAACATTGTACATATACTTGTTCATAAAATACTGTCTTTGAGATTGTATGCACTTACTTCAATCTAAACAAATTTAAGATAATATAACAAAATAGTTAATATAAAAGTTTTTTACTAGTGGGTACAGTAATTGCTAATTTAGTTGTTATTTTTTTCTGAACATGAAACTGTATCATGTGAAGCTCCAAGTGTTTCACTATGATTTATCCCAAAGAATGCAGGTGGTTGAAATGGTTGTTGTGAATGTGGGAAATACTGATGAGGATTATTTTGATGCATTTGGGATATCCCAATCATGGTTTGAGATAACATACTGAACATCTGACCAAAGAATTCCCTGTCTTCCTTCCTTTCTTTCTCTCTCACCTCTGGTGACACAATGCTACTTGCAATCAAATTGGTTATGTTTCCCATCTGTTCATTTGACTTTTCGATTACATCAGAAAGACGTGCTTTCTTGCTGTGAGATGCTCTTACAATTTTTTTCTCTCGTTTTTGTGGATTACTAGCGCTGGCAGATTGCTCGTCTTCTGACATATCTAATGCTGCATCAACATCATCACACTGCTCTACTTGCTGTGTTCCACTTTCAAACAACTGTTCTTCAGGAGGATTATTCACTGGTCGAGGACCTGTTATTAATTATAAACAAAAGAACTTTTTTGGTCATTGGTGCATAAAATGCTTTGTCTGTCGGAAAGAAATTAATTTAATATTTAGTGATCATCAATGGAAACATTGTCAATGAATTACGACATGTGAAAACCAAGCTTTGTGCCATTTCTGAGAATTTGACTTTAAAATGTTTACTCTGAATTTGTGCTTTATTAACTACTATTAATTAAACGATCTATACAAACTGTGCCAAACTTTACACAATACATCACAAACTCTAGATAGGTTGTGAAATTTTCAAACTTTACTGAACTTTCAAATTGATCGACCCAACCTTTTCTGGGAAGAAATTATTTCGCTAACCTCAGAATGATATTTCGTCAAAAATTTTTTCTTCAAGATTGGTTTAGAAACAAACTTGGAGTAGGGTTAGGTTAAGGTTAGGTCAAGAATTTGGATTAGGGTTTATATAGGGTTAGAGTTTGTGTTTGGAATAGGGTTAGTGTTAGTAAAACCGTTGCTTTCTTACGTTTTGTCACTCTGAGGCCAGCGAATTAACCTCTTTCCCTTTTCTGTCCTAAAGTTATCATGCAAACATGTAGAAAATGAGCAGCATTTGGCATTAAATTTATTTAAGTTTTATTTGAACAATTTACAATTATTCATCAATATTTACCTAGAATCCTATCCAATTGCTCCCAAACTTTTAAAGCAGTTTTTTCTACACTTGATAGAGCACTCGAAAAGTACGGCCTCTCAGATCCAGACTGTTTCATACGATCTTTTAACTTGCTGTAACCACTTCTCAATTTCTTAATTTTGGTTTCTATTTGGGACGTTGTTCTGTCGATATTTGAGTGCTCTTTTAGTATCCTGCTAATTTCATCGTAAACAACCTTGTTAGTTGCCATTCCATCGATAGCTTCTTGAATTATTTGTTCTCCATACGCATCCAATAATGATTTTGTTACTGCTTCTGTCCATCTGCTCCCTGAACCAGCCGCCATGTTGTTCATGTTGGGCACGGTGCCGTTGTTGGGTACTACCCCTGGAGGTAGTGCCCGTTTTCGGGCACCGTGCCCGAATTCTTTTGCGAGTATCGCGATCACACTGGTGCTCAAACAAGTGCCGTACCCGGGCACTAGTGCCGGGCACTCAGTCTGAACGACCCCTTAGTTTTCCCGAAGGTTTCCGCGCGGCAACCATACTGCTTATCCACGCCGTGGATGTTGTTACCTTGGCAATCACTCCTCGTCTTTCCATCTCTTCGATCTCTTTCTTTAACTCCGACTTTAAAGCTACTGCGACTCTTCGTGGCTGAGCCTGGACCGCTTTAACCTTAGTATCAATGTCCATATGATATTCTCCTGGAAGAGTTCCAAGACCATTAAAGACATCAGAATACTTGTTTAATATGCTCTCTTGAGTTAAAGGGCTGCTTATCACTTTGGTGGTAACATGAGTGTCCTTCTGTACTGTCATTGCATTAACTATTTCTTGATGATTAACTGTCAACAGCCCCAACTGCTCACATGTCGCTGCTGACAAAAGAGGTTTTTGCTTAGAATCCACCACTTGAAATTTAAAAAGGTAACTATTTGCAGGTTGGTTACATCTTAATTCACAAAAATGCTAATGGTAACATCACGGAACCATCATATAGTCGTAGCTTTGCATCGGTTTTCTGTAGCTTTGGATTACCATCTTGTGCAATCTTGCAATATTCTTTGTAACTTATGACAGTACATGTAGAGCCACAGTCCATTTGGCATTGTACCAGTTGTTGGGGACCATCTCCAATGCTAAGACCCAGGATTTTACACCATTTCTCACCTGCAGTTTTAACCGTACCAACTGTTTCTTCAACTTGATAAAGTGATTCATCAACCTCGTTCCCAGGCTCTTTGCTCTTGGGAAGCAAAGACCCTGGTCGGAGCTGGTCACGTGACCCATAGAAAATTGATAGCCCAAGAGGGGATGGAAAAGTCTCATATTACATGTTTCCACTTCCGCACTTCGATTGCAAGGAGTGGGCCGTTCTGTACAATTATCTAATTCATCTTCGAGAATCATATATACCCCAAACTACTTGCAAATTGGTTTCTGTTTGCTTTTAAAATATACAAACATGCTAAAATGCAGATTCTTATGGCAACAGAAAATTCAGGAAATCAAGCAACGATTGACTGTACGCTTTGAAATATTTTTATTTTCTCGGGGTTCGCCGGTTCGGGCGTAGTTTCATTTCACGCGTGCGTTTCTGTTCTGGTTCTGATTTTTATAATATACTTATAATATGCCAATGAATTATTCTAATATGGACACGGTATAAATTTTGTTAAACATATGTCTCAAAAGCGACTGTTTATAGGTCGTAGGATTAGCGCCTTGCCGGTCTTAAAAGGCGTGACACATTTGGACACAAGCCAAATAAACATTGAATGTCCATTCTATTGATTCTAAAACTGTTTATAGGTTAAAAGGTTATCATCGTTTATATTAAGCACCAGGAAGACAAAATATAACGTACAAAATTGTTTGAAATGGACAGTGCACAGCTGACATACGACAATTCACAACTGCATGAATTTTCCTTTTTGTCTGCACGAGTACCTGTTTGTTGAAGCCAAAATATTGCACATCATCTCCTATAAATTCTATCGCCATTTACCCTCTCTCCTTAAATGCAAAGGAATGACAGCAGAAAATGTTTGGCAAAGTATTTTTTATTACATCTGGTATAAACTATAAAGTGTCCTACGTTTTATCAGGATATACATAATTCATAAACTGTATATGCACACGAAGTCTCGCTTATATTAATGAGTTTTACTGTAACAAACCTTTTAAAGTTTCCATTGATAGATAGGTTGTTTGCCTCCAGTATTGCTTGGTAAAACAGACTAAACTTCTAAAATGTCGGTTACAGAATACGATAAAGATTAAAGTTGATTTAAATATTGATAACTCACAGCGGCATTAATCCATTATACAAGTCTAAAGAAGCTGGATTATTCTTCAATAAAGCCCTCAATGGTCAATGTCAATGAAAGGTCTAATGTTATACACGTTGCAAATTACTGTGTACACAAAATATGAAATAATTTATACAAAGTACAATAGTAACAATACCAGTGTCTGATGCATATATCGTCAGGTCCTGGATATTCAAGTTGTACCGCACGCACGGAAACGTACGGAGGAGTCTTTATGTTTGAATATCATAACTCCGTTTGTGCTAGGACATCATAAAACTGCGCCTGGTTTAGGACTAAAGGTGTATGTATATCATTCTCACTCGAAATTTCTATCCTCAAAAGTCCTTTGAAATGATTAGCGATTAACAAGATGCTTTTATCATAATGACAATATGCTGGCGCGTTTTCTGTTTATTTAACTATCTTTTTTGCTGTGGATGCCACAGGGGAGAAAATGGGAAGAATTAATTAAAAACATTGTTTAATATATTCTAGACATCCATGATTTATTTCAATTGTGATGGTAAATATTATAAAAACATCGCCATCCAGAACTTGATCCACTCGTTCTGAAATCTTAATGTCTCTAATTTTATTGTCAGATCAGCTTGGTAAACTTTACAGAAGGGCTAAGACATTTTTCTATTTAGTTTAAAAGTGCAAAAGGCATTCTATTTTTTCATGAAATATGTGATATATGTCATAGTAATCCAATCTATTCTAATTCATGTTCTCTGCATGTCATCTATTCGTAATTAAAATCTTGCTTCTGAGATTTTGTTGACAGTGAAGTGTCATTCAATCTTATTAATTTCCATTTTAATATAAAACCACATTCAATTATCACGAAACGTGTTGCCTTTGGTTGAACTAGAAACACGTCGCGGCGTTGCTAATATACATACTATAATTACACATACATAGAAAATGCAAGTAAATGTAGTAATTTTATCTTTCGCGGTAATAAAACATTTTGCCGTGTTCCTGTCAAGCAAAACACTTGTTAATTTAAACATAAGTGCATGCATGTCCGGCGATAACATTTACATGCCGACAAACAAAATGACTTTTAAGTATAGTATCTAGTAGTTGGTAAACCACACCAGTTTTGTGGAATATTATTTTCAGATACTATTATATATGTGAAGTGCTTTTAGGCCAGCTGCATGATGGAACGAGCATGTGAGCATTTTCTTCTTTTATTCAAACAATGATACGATGTTACTAATTTTAATTCTTATGCAAGTCTTGCCTCAAAGGCTACAGCTTTGAGCTTCACTGGAAAAAAAATGAAAATCCATAGAAGGTCATAGAATGGAAATTGTATGGACCTTTATTGAAAATAGAATAGATTTTGGTTATCCATAATAATTGTATATTTCTATAGTATGGATATACTATGGAAATAGGTGGGATATACTATGGATTTAGTGGTGCAATTGCAAATTTCGTAGTATCGATTTCACATTTTTATTCCAGTGCTAAATACGCATGCGAATACCGTTTTCTGAGCATGCACATGTTTTATATTAAAAATATATTGGAAAACTATTCAATCCTCAATTCACATCCATTTTGTTTTCATGCAAGAACTTTAAATATATTTGTAATTTTCATTTTACATTATCATTTGACAAATGAACAAAAAATTAAATTTGACTTTTCACTGAGTGCATGCATGCTTACCTTTTACACACCTCGCACATTCGCGCAGGAAATCAACTAAATGAAAATTTCGTTTAATATAAAAATCAATGAAAATGAAACAGAAGTCTGGCAGGGAATAGAATACAATGCCTTCAAACTGCAGGAAATTACAATTTTGCTGGAAATTCATCGATCAACTTTTATAATTGTGCAGCTAATTTATGTGGCAAAATTTTACAGCAAATTTAGGTCATTTGCATCTCCCAGCCATGGTTTCTACCTATAGTTTTAATAAATTTTACACGAAACGAACTGATAGTGGGAAGGACCACAAGGTGGAATTCTCTTAAAAACTTACTTTTAAAAAAAGCTAATTTTCATAAATTGGACAAGCTGCAATATTCGTGTCGCCAACGTATAGTGATTGCACGTGCAAAACAGACGTTTTTTTACTTCAGCAAAATCAATTAATGGATCAAGTGTGATTTTTTATATTGTAACAGAGATCTTATATATCAAGGAGCGTATGCCAAAACAACAATTAAATAGTCTCAACCACTTATGGCTAAGATTATCGCTTGAAGTCGGACTTTAATTTAGCATTGTACGTTTATTGACCAAATAATGAAAATTCACGTGGAATTTTTTTTCCTGCATGAATTAATCAACAGGATATAAAAACGTTGAAAAATATATATAATCTGTTGTTAAATTACAATACAGTTTTTTTCCTCTATATATTTCCTCTAAAAATAAGCCCCCACCTTCTATTAGCAAACACTTGTTAAGGAACACAGCCGAATTTGTTGCCTGCCACTGAAAGCTACGAATTTACAATGGATGTGCGCCTCGATTTGAAGCGGTTAGTTCGCGTCCGCGGAAGAATCTGGAAGCATCTCCTAGTGCCCATTCGCTCCTAATTCGACGACCTCTTCCAGGAACTAAGTTCTATCATACATCAAGTATACTCATTACACATCAGCTTACTCTGCCATCCAATTTTCATCCAAATTAAACCAAAATTTAATCAATATGTCCTTAGTCCCACAAAATGTTATATTAATACGTTTGATAGAAGTTATGCTGATACACACGTACATACGAACGTGGATCACGTGGTAATGCCGTGTAATATGGCCAAGTAATTGTAAATTGTATGAACGTTTCGCCAAATGTTTCTCTTTAATGATGGATTCGAAAAATTGTCAGATTACAAGAACGTGAAAATGTCATCACTTCCCCCAGCCTCTATATGTTCCCCTTCTCATATGCCTCCCGCCCAGAATCACTAGAAAAAGTAAGGCGCCACGGAGCCAAATAGAGGAAATACGATTTGTATGGATGGACGTTCTGAGGCAACCATGACCCCGCCCTTCTCCTCCACCTGTACGCTGAGTGAAAGAAAAAGGTAATTGATATACGGTTATAGAGCAGGGCGAAAGGAGAGAGGGCGTAGAAACGGCCATACATCGAGCGGACCCATCCGTGATGCGGGCTTCGCAGGGGGCAAGACGTTCTAATTGTAAACAAATATGGCTACGCGTATATGACCCATCAGAAGGTATGCTGAAACTATTGCTTCATAAAATATTACTTGTGTAAAATTTATATGTTTTTGTTACTTTCAGCTACTATAAGAAACTTAAAGATAAGATTTAAGTAACAAAAAACTTTATTTCGGGTTATGGTTTAATTTGGTGGTTAAAAATGGCCGTCGAAATGTTGTCCGAGAGTGTTAGCGCGCACTGCTTCCTGATAAAAAGCCAATGATTTCCAAAACCTAAATTATAATTTGTTATTAAGTTATGATGAAAACCTTTGCGTATACAAAATTATAGAGTGAGCAAACATGAGACA